CAAGTTCTGTCAACATCGGATAACAATTTTGACCTGTTGAGTGTCCACAAACAAATTATGGCCGGACAAATGGACAGTGGCGACAGCAGTATACATCCACAAGAACATGTAGTATAAAAATCAGGACCGGATGAAATAAGCCCTCTCAAATTAAAATAACAGCTCTGGTCTGGTATCTGTGTTCTTCCTTGAATAAAAAGAATATGTTATGTATTAGGTTGGTTAGAATATTGGTTATATGTAGCACCATAGGTCTTTTGTCTGACGTGGAGAGCGGACATTGTCAAACTGGTCGCCACATCCTACATGCATCTTTTCTTACTACATATTTCTGTAGCCTTGTGATCGTCTAGAATTTGTCTCTAGCTGTCTTTACTTCTGCTTCACGTTGTGTATTTACTTCTTACAGTTTCTTAAGACGTCTGTCTTACCAGGAATAACAATGCGACAGTTTGCTTCTACATATTTTATATATATATATAGCTGAATACAGGTATACAAGCATAATAGATAACAATACTAGCTAAAACCATTTCTCTACCCTAGCCAGCCTCGCGGCTGTCAAGGAACTCAGATGTAAGCTCTCTGGGACCTAATAGAAGCCTGGCTTGAAAGGTTCAAATAGATATCTTATATAGCACCCACGTTCATGGCCCTGAACCTGTGTAATTAATGATATGATTGGTTACTTTAAACCAAATGATGCAATTAAAATAATTCCACTCACGTGTAATTCTGGTGGTAAATTATTGACATATGTTTTCGATAAATAGCTCTTTTTATGTGTCAACTGTCAATTACAGACTAAGTTGATTTAAGTATTTTAAGTACATATCACATATTATGCGAATATGTTATTTCTCGAGCACAAATTCTACTAAAAGTATTACATATATGACAGTCTCCATATGTAACGGTGTTAAGCTGTTATCTATCAACTTCAACTTCATCATTAAGTTAATTCACCATATTTAAGAAATGTTACTTTAATTTTAAAATGAAATACACAATTTAAATTTTATCTAGTTAAGTATTTGCAAATTCTATACGAAAATAGACACTACTACAGTACATGTACTTTGTCTCTGGTTTAAACATGCAAATCCTTATCCAATTAAACTACATAAATGTTCTGTTTTCAGAAAGAATATAGCTCACCTTAATTCTTTATTCTGGCATCCACTACCATTCTTTTTAATGACAAAACTTGGTTTTTGGAATAAATAAACAACTGATTCCCCAGAAATGATACCGATTATAATAAATGATGTCATTTGATACTCCCAATAGCAGGCAGGTTTATAGTTGTCAACATATAAGGGTAATAATGCTATCACATCGGACATGTTGTTTAGGTTAGCATACCAGCCAATTAAATGTCAGTGAACTGGACACAACACAAACATCCAAAATTTAGCCTCTTTTCTGGAGCTGGTCTATACACTGTATACAAACAATCATTCTAAATCATTGGGAAAATTTGTTGTGTAATCAAGACATGCTGTTGCTTTATTTAATTATGTAGACCACTCCTCTTAGATGACCAAATGGTTTAAAACATTGCACTAAAGTTTTATGCCATGATTGAACACAACAACTCGAAGGATTGGGACGCTATTTGATTCGAGGGTTGTTTCTGCTTGTAAGTGAATTAATGTAAAGAGTAACTACAGGAAGACTGTGCCAACAAACATAATTTTAAAAACAACACATACAGTATATTGACATATCAAGCTATGAGTCTAAAGTCGCTGATCGTAATCTAATTGATTAATATTTTAACAAAATGAAAATACTAAAGCCGCGTTTACACGATACAACCAATCCGTACAACCATCTGATGCAACATATTCGACGACTGTTTACGCGACACAATGGTTCCATTAGTTGTAGGTCAACATTTGTTCCTTCTAATTAACTAAATAGAGTGAAAGTAAGGCGACACTTATAGCTCATCCCTGTCTTCATGTAGTTTTGATGCTGCCGGTTCCATGCTTCCTATATAGAATTATTAGATGTTCTAATTCAGTCGCAGATAGGTTTAGATCCATTTTAGAGGACGCCAAAGTACTTGAAGCGACAGAAGACATCTTTAATCATGAATTCTGGTTGCCAAGTCAAATATGACATCATACACCATATGATGTTGCCCAATATAAGCAATTTGATTGGCCATTGCATCAGTCCATTGGATGAGAATAGAGCTTGTCCGATCCATACAATAAGCTGTCTATCTGACCATTTGTCTGATGAGCTGGTCGGATGGGACGATTGTATGGATTGGTTGTATTGTGTAGATGCTGCTTAACAGTAACAGTAGATAATCCCTCAGGTTGTATTCAATTTGATTGAAATAAGGCATATTCGAAGATTTGTTTTTATACGCCCACATTTTCATGTGGACGTATTATGCCGTGGCGTCTGGACGTCTGTCCGTCCGTCCACAATTTGTTTGTGGACACTCTACAGGTCACAATTCTTATCCGATTTTAAGAAACTTGAAATATAGATGTATCTCCAAAAGATCTCGGCTGCTTTCGATATTGGCATGTATCGGATCGAAACTTCATGGATTATGGCCCCTGTTTGTACGAAAAATCACGTTTTTGGCTTGTGGACCCTATAGAGGTCACAATTTTTATCCGATTTTGTTGAATCTTGAAATGTAAGTTAATAACCCAAAGATCTCGGTTCCTTTCGATATTCGCGCATATCGGACCGTAACTTCCTGAATTATGGCCCCTGATTGTACGAAAAATCACGTTTTTAGCTTGTGGACCCAATAGAGGTCATAATTTTTATCCAATTTAAAAAAACGTATTATTATATCACCGTTACACCATAAGGACGAGTGAGTTCCAATTTCGTAAAACCCGGCCTAAAATTGACAGACAAAATTGCCATCGTTCGTTCGTTCGTTCTCAAATAGCGTAAAAATATGGTATATCAAGGTTGTGGACCCTATAGAGGTTACAATTTTTATCCGATTTTGTTGAAACTTGAAATGTAAGTTTATAACCCAAAGATCTAGGTTCCTTTCGATATTCGCGCATATCGGACCGTAACTACCTGAATTATGGCCCCTGATTGTACGAAAAATCGCGTTTTTAGCTTGTGGACCCTATAAGTTCATAATTTTTATCCGATTTAAAAAAACCTATTATTATATCACTGTTACACCCTAAGGACGACTGAGTTTGAATTTCGTGAAAATCGGCCCAAAATTGACAGACAAAATGGCTGCCCTTCGTTCTCAAATCGCGTAAAAATTGGGTATTTCAAGGTTGTGGACCCTATAGGCCTATAGGTCAAAATTTTTATCCGATTTTGTTGAAACTTGAAATGTAAGTTTATAACCCAAAGATCTCGGTTCCTTTCGATATTTGCGCATATCGGACCGTAACTTCATGAATTATGGCCCCTGATTGTACGAAAAATTGCGTTTTTAGCTTGTGGACCCTATAGAGGTCATAATTTTTATCTGATTTAAAAAAACATATTATTATACCACCGTTAAAACCCAAGGACGACTGAGTTCGAATTTCATGAAAATCGGATCAAAAATGACAGACAAAATGGCCGCCCTTCATTCTCAAATAGCGTAAAAACATGGTACATGTATATCAAGGTTGTGGACCCTATAGAGGTCACAATTTTTATCTCATTTTGTTGAAATTTAAAATATAAGTTAATAACCCAAAGATCTTGGTTCCTTTCGATATTCGCGCATATTGGAACGTAACTTCCTGAATTATGGCCCCTGATTGTACGAAAAATCGGCCCCTGATTGTACGAAAAATCAGCCCCAAACTGACAGACAAAATGGCCGACCCTCGTTCTCAAATAGCTTAAAAATATGGTATATCAAGGTTGTGGACCCTATAGAGGTCACAATTTTTATCCAATTTTGTTGAAACTTGAAATGTAAGTTTATAACCCAAAGATTTCGGTTCCTTTCAATATTTGCGCATATCGAATTGTAATTTCCTGAATTATGGCCCTTGATTGCAGGAAAAATCACTTTCTTTTTAGCTTGTTCTCTATCCATCTCTCGAAAATGTGGGCGTATTCTGCCTGGCAGCCGCTGGTTAAAAAAAATATAAGTCGTGCTGGCTTGTTTTGACCATATCCCATTTATATCATCTGCAGAGGATGCCAAATTTTCAATTCATCATATCTTTCTAAATACTGCATGGAGCTGAACCATGTTTGGACTGATATTCCTTTTAGCAAGCTATTAAAAATCCCTCAAACGATTATCAGTAACTTTAAGAGAATGAAATACTTCGTATCCTACAAAACCATGCCAGTGAATAAAGTCGTTGGGTTGAAGACTATTATAGCACATGTGCTGCTTTGTCTCAAAAGGGGGTCTGCAGCAATTGTTTGGTTAGAGAAAGTCCAGGGTACAAATTGGTAGTCCATAAAGATCCCTTGGAAGTTGGAATATGAAGAAGAGCAGGCAGAAGGTTTCCTCTTCACAGTGCACATGTAACCATCAAAATGAAAATCATGTCAGTCTCAAAATGACCAAAGTACAGCTTAGTTTGTTTACAGTGAGTAACAGCCATAGTTACAAAATGCGAGATGCATAATATATTCAAACCAATTCATCTATCAAAGGATTGCTTCAAATCCATCTCAAAACATTTTTATCGAAAGTAAACTACCCCATTATCCAAGAATCTATTTTAAGAAACCTTGTTTTTCATGTGACTTGATTGAAGGAGAATCCATTATCAGCTTGTATGTGTTGTATTTGGATTATTCTTTGCCAAAAAAACTTTTTCCACCATTTAATTGTCGAGTCTAATGGATATTTAAGCCTTGATATTCTTACAGATCAACACATAAGAAGGGCTCCTTACCTCAATCGAAAAGATAAACTGTCATTGAGGGACACCCATGTATTTTTGTTCTCTATATTTAACCTTAAATCTGGTATGTTGGGGTTTAAAGAGGTACTTTGATTTAATACAACAACAAAAATTACACAAATATAGCATTTATCATATTTATTAGTAAATGTACCAGTATTAGTTTGCTGGCATATAATTAGGATCAAGATAATTATAATCTCCAGGCATAAATCTCATATAATCGGCATCTAATACTGGTTCTCTTGTAGATGTATCAATGGCTTGAAGCTTGTGACTTGAATTGTGACTTGAAGACTCATAATAACTGTAACAACAAGCCAACAGTGAGGCTGATGTCCCCCACCGAAATCCCAAAATAAATAGATGACATATATTAATTAATCGTGCACATTTATTTTTTTCAAAAGTATCAAGCAATTTAACTGATTATCAACTATACACTAAGTTGCATCACTCTCTATCAGATAGAATCAAGATTATCCTGTCCCAATGCATCGACCAATGAAATCGATAAACTCTGCTTAACTTTAGCTAGCAATGTTAATCATTGAACTCAGTCACGGCATTCACCTAACCAGTCTTAAGACCAATTAGAAATCAGTCAGATTTCTTCAAGTTTGGGAATGTGACCTCAAAGATTTGTTGAAGAGAATCCTGTCATCAATCTCTCAAAGACAATAAATTGTCGCCCAATTATTATCTATTCAGATGGTGTATTGTATAAGTGTCATATTACACTGCTCTATATTTAGAATGTAAAACTAAAGCTAGATGGGTTTGGAATCGGATTCTATGAGATTTGAATTAGAGAATAAGAAAAACTAATCAAATTAAACATAGAAATAAACAAATTTAATAACAATTTAATGTAATAAAAAAAATTTGATTCATAAGTTTATTAATTAGATGTAATATCTACTGCAGCTTGTCTAAGCCAGGGTATAAAATATCTTAAATTATTTTACTCATATACTTTGACATTGACCAATTTGATGTTAACCAATTAAATGATTTTGGAACTTTTTCCTGTGGAGATTAATATTCATGAGTAAAACAAGGGTTGTTGAGCACATTACGATTGTATAACTTTTGCCAATTATATATTTATTTCTATAGAAAGGGTTCAATATCGAAATAGTAATGGCCTATTGAGCCATCGTACAATACTATTTACGAACTTATCAATTATCATTAAAAGAAAATTTGATCCAAAATTATCTATGTTGGTGCAAAAATATGAACATTTACTGATTATTTACTTACAGGGAAAAGGTCACCCCAAAACAATCTACATGTATTTGTTATTTAGAGCTAAATCGCTAATATTTAGGACCTAGAAATTGACACAAATGGTTCGCAACACAAATTGATAATGTAATATGAATGTACATAAACTGATTTAGTATTTATTGCGCATGCTCTCCAGATAGGAATATGACATAACCGTTTGAATGACTTGTGGAATATGTCTAGCCTCGTCCTTCGAGTCCCTTGTTACAAATGGCGCTGAAAGGCATTCGTGAACCAATGGTAAAATGTTTATTTTGTCTTACAATTTTATGGAAGCCTATAACTACCATTCATAATTTCTACTTTTCGTCCCTTCAAAACACGAAAGTCGAAAAGTGACCTTGAAAGTAGAGACTACATCAACTTCCGAGGCGAAAAGGCGACAGTAAGACAGCAAGCCAAAATCATAGGTCGCTAATATTGCCATCAATACTAGACTTTATCATAAAGACTATTTTGTTAACGCGAATTGCTTGTATCCAAATGTGACCTGGTTAATTGAGACTGCAACAACTTCCGTGGCGAAATCCGACAGTACGACAGCCAGCCAAAATGATAGGTCGCTAATAGCGCGTTGTGTTTATTTCCTAAATTCTACTTTTCGAGTTGCATTATGGCTTGGTATGCGTGTTGATGCCTTCTTACTCACATCAATAAATACAAAAATATGACTAACACGAAAGTCAACAAGACGGTACAAAAGCCAAAACGCATCTCGAAAATAAGAACTTAGTATAAAACGAGGGGCGCTATCATCGCAGTGTATTAGTTCTTAATTTCCTATTTTCGAGTTCATTGTGGCTGTATAGCGTGCTGTCGCTATACTTCTACTTTTTCGACTTTTTGACTTTCGTGTTTTAAAGAGACGAAAAGTAGAGATTATGAACGGTAGTTATAGGCTTCTATACAATTTGGATATCATAAGCATAGGCCTATCTTTTCCCGGTAAAATCACAACTTCAACGTTCATTTAAATTGACAAATAATTTGTGTTTTCAATGTCGGAAGACTGCGGATGATATTGAGTTAAAGACTTAGCTACTTTGATATACAGTGTGAATTTGAAAAAAGTGGTTGCCATGCAAGAGACGCCCACATTTCGCAAGAGATGGACAGAGAACAAGCCTATCTTTTCCCGGTAAAATCACAACTTCAACGTTCATTTAAATTGACAAATAATTTGTGTTTTCAATGTCGGAAGACTGCGGATGATATTGAGTTAAAGAGTTAGCTACTTTGATATACAGTGTGAATTTGAAAAAAGTGGTCGCCATGCAAGAGACACCCACATTTCGCAAGAGATGGACAGAGAACAAGCCTATCTTTTCCCGGTAAAATGAACTTCAACGTTCATTTAAATTGACAAATACAGGGATCACGTAGCTAAGTGGGTAAGGCGCTGGCTCGCTAGCCTGGAGGTCGGGTGTTCGATCCCTGCATTGGCCAAGAAAGTTCATCCAGATTTTCCGGCGTGGTTCCCCCTTGTCAGTGATGCAGGACGGAGGGCCGGACAAGGACAGCTGTCTAGTCATTCGGATGAGACGAAAAACTGAGGTCCCGTGTACACATTTGCGTGCACATAAAAGATCCCTTGACAGTTGGAATTCGATATAAGAGTAGGCCGTAGTGCCGCTGTCCGGGCAAAATTTCCTTCATAGCACACTGTATGGCGTATGCTCGTCTTCATTAGCCCAGTTCAAGCAAAACAGTAGGACGTTAAACCCCATTTCATTTCATTTCAAATTGACAAATAATTCGTGTTTTCAATGCCGGAAGACTGCGGATGATATTGAGTTAAAGACGCTACTTTGATATACAGTGTGAATTTGAACCAGCGGCTGCCAGGCAGGATACGCCCACATTTTCGACAGATGGATAGAAAACAAGCTAAAACGAAAGTGATTTTTCCTACAATCAAGGGCCATAATTCAGGAAATTACAATTCGATATGCGCAAATATTGAAAGGAACCAAGATCTGTGAGTTATAAACTTACATTTCAAGTTTCAACAAAATCGGATAAAAATTGTGACCTCTATAGGGTCCACAACTTTGATATACCATATTTTTACGCAATTTGAGAACGAGGGGCAGCCATATTCACGAAATTTGAACTCAGTCGTCCTTAGGGTGTAACTGTGATATAATAATACGTTTTTTTAAATCGGATAAAAAATTATGACCTCTATAGGGTCCACAAGCTAAAAACGCGATTTTTCGTACCATCAGGGGCCATAATTCAGTAAGTTACGGTCCGATATGCGCGAATATCGAAAGGAACCAAGATCTTTGGGTTATAAAGTTACATTTCAAGTTTCAACAAAATCGGATAAAAATTGTAACCTCTGATATACCATATTTTTATGCTATTTGAGAACGAAGGGCTGCCATTTTATCTGTCAGTTTTGGGCTGATTTTCACGAAATTCGAACTCAGTCGTCCTTAGGGTATAACGGTGATATAATAATATGATTTTTTAAATCGGATAATAATTATGACCTCTATAGGGTCCACAAGCTAAAAATGTGATTTTTCGTACGATCAGGGGCCATAATACAGGAAGTTACGGCCCGATATGCGCGAGATCTTTGGGTTATAAACTTACATTTCAAGTTTCAACAAAATTGGATAAAAATTGTGACCTCTATAGGGTCCACAACCTTGATATACCATAATTTTACGCTATTTGAGAACGAACGGCGGCCATTTTGTCTGTCAGTTTTGGGCCGATTTTCACGAAATGTGAACTCAACCGTCCTTAGGGTGTAACGGTGATATAATAAAAAGTTTTTTTAAATCGGATAAAAATTATGACCTCTATAGGGTCCACAAGCCAAAAAACGCGTTATTGCGTAAAATCAGGGGCCATAATTCATGAAGTTACGGTCAGATATGCCCGAATATCGAAAGGAACCGAGATCTTTGTGTTATAAACTTACATTTCAAGTTTCAACAAAATCGGATAAAAATTGTGACCTGTATAGGGTCCACAACCTTGATATACCATATTTTTACACTATATGAGAACGAAGGACGGCCATTTTGTCTGTCAGTTTTGGGCCGATTTTCACGAAATTCAAACTCAGCCGTCCTTAGGGTGTAACAGTGATATATTAACACGTTTTTTTAAATCGGATAAAAATTATGTCCTCTATAGGGTCCACAAGCCAAAAAACGCGTTTTTGCGTAAAATCAGGGGCCATAATTCATGAAGTTACAGTCCGATATGCGCGAATATCGAAAGGAACCGAGATCTTTGTGTTATAAACTTACATTTCAAGTTTCAACAAAATCGGATAAAAATTGTGACCTCTATAGGGTCCACAACCTTGATATACCATATTTTTACGCTATTTGAGAACGAAGGGCAGCCATTTTGTCTGTCAGTTTTGGGCCGATTTTCACGAAATTCAAACTCAGCCATCCTTAGGGTATAACGGTGATATAATAATATGATTTTTTAAATCGGATAATAATTATGACCTCTATAGGGTCCACAAGCTAAAAATGTGATTTTTCGTACGATCAGGGGCCATAATACAGGAAGTTACGGCCCGATATCCGCGAATATCGAAAGGAACCGAGATCTTTGGGTTATAAACTTACATTTCAAGTTTCAACAAAATCGGATAAAAATTGTGACCTCTATAGGGTCCACAACCTTGATATACCATAATTTTACGCTATTTGAGAACGAACGGCGGCCATTTTGTCTGTCAGTTTTGGGCCGATTTTCACGAAATGTGAACTCAACCGTCCTTAGGGTGTAACGGTGATATAATAAAAAGTTTTTTTAAATCGGATAAAAATTATGACCTCTATAGGGTCCACAAGCCAAAAAACGCGTTATTGCGTAAAATCAGGGGCCATAATTCATGAAGTTACGGTCAGATATGCCCGAATATCGAAAGGAACCGAGATCTTTGTGTTATAAACTTACATTTCAAGTTTCATCAAAATCGGATAAAAATTGTGACCTGTATAGGGTCCACAACCTTGATATACCATATTTTTA